TATTATTTTAAGTTTGCTAAAGCTTCTTTCGCCACTAGCTACAGCAACTGGCAACGTTCAAACAATTTTTAACGCTGCTTCCAAATGCGGATAGGACTGAACTAAATTATAATCTTATATTATTTTTAAAAGTTCTAGCATGGTTTTTAAAACTAGGTATTTCAGGCTGAATTTCTTCAGCGTTCATATCATTCGAATATTTAAGTACTAAATGATAAGCTGCTGCCATTAAATTACTTAAATCTAATGACATTATTGGTTGACAAGTTAGAAACTGAGAATCGGAAGAGATTTCATTAAACATTTCGTATCACCATTTCAATTGTGAAATTAAAACGTCGAACACTTCGTCAGTTTCTGTAAAAATATTTTTTTTTCTGAGAAACTACAATTTATATCAAGTGATTCTTCACGATTTGATTTATTAACTTTTCGTTTTCGTTTCTCTTCAAATTCTGGTAATATATTCATCTCTAAGCTGAAGTTTAGCATTTTTCAAAAATGCATTGAAAAATATTTTCTCTCATTTCCTGTAATGAAAGACATAGTCTCTCTATTAAGTTTGCGGCTTTATAGACAGTTATAGTTTTTGACTGCAAGGCTTTATTTATTTTTTCGATATCTTGGAGTACTAAATTCCACGCAGATAGCAAAGATAAATATTTAAAATTGATTTGCTTCCAAATGCTGTTATTTTCAGCCCATTGCAAAGATTTGTGATTTAATGCCATATCTTTGAATAATTTATGTACTTCTGTTATTTGTAGATCTAATTCCTTAAAAGCATTTGCTTTTGATGATCATCGTGTATCCGTATGATCTTTTAATGTTGTTTTTCGAAACGGACATCCTATCTACTCGTTGGATACAAAAAATGAAAAAAAAAATTAGAAATACTCTCAAAAGTGCCAAAAAATATTAACATTCTTGAATTTGTTGAAGCGGTTGATTTGTTGGGAAAAAAAAAATCTGAAAGGTTTCAGATTTTAAATTGAGCATATCTTTAGAATTTCCTATACACAGCCTCACGGGCTGGAGATAAAAATGTTTTTTCTGTACATTGTTGCGATTGCTCGCTTTGACAGCCTTCAGTTTGTTAATCAAAAATTCGCTAATATTTTACAAAGTATGAAATCGGTAATAAAACAAATTCCAAATTTCAAATTTGGGTTTCCACATGCCCGTATTCGGAATAGGATTACGTCATTCAAAATTCGATGGCTCTGTGTACCGCTTTTTTTATCACAATACGAGAAATATACATACATTTATGCAGCCTTTTCATTATTTAATTTCTTCAAATACTATAATGCATTCTAATATAACTAACATTTGGTGCCCACGGTTTGAAAAGTCAAACGGACATTTATAGTGAACCAACGCAAAATCGCAAAACAAAAACAATAGTCCTTCAGGAACAAAGGCCCTTTGGACTAATACAAATTTGGGGATGTTTCAAATTTCTTAAAACTCTTACTCCCGAAGAGACGTTCTATTCATTTACACACACATTCACGTTCCAACAGCATTTGGGCTAATACCCCTTCCGGCTGAAGTATATAAACACAGCGCATCTTTAGAATATCCGCTGGACAGTTTCAATTTCTGATGTACAGCTGGGAGTTATAAATCTTTTTTTTATATACAGTGTTGCCATTTCTCGCTTTGAAATCGCTCAGTTTCTTAATCAAGGTTGGTGTATTTAATTATCGCAAAGCACACGAGGGCTATCTGCCTTTCGTGGAGGACTTTCTAAGGGAAACTGGCTCGTATACACGTTACACATGGGGAAAACCACGAAAACCACATGGGGAAAACCCGTTCGCGGGATTCGAACCTCGGACTGAACTACCAGTGTTCAGCGACTTTACCGCTCAGCCGCTGGTGGGCCTCTTAATCAAGAATATGTTAAAATTAAAAAATATATATATATGAAATAGATAATATAACAAATTCCAAATTCGGGCTTTCAAGTGCACATATTCGGTTGGAGGACTACGTTATTCAAAATTTGATGATTCTACGTACTGTTATTTTATCTCAATGTGAGAAACATACATGCATTAACACAGTTTCTTCATTATTTAATTGCTGTAAATGTAATACTGGGCAATAATTACTATTTGAGTCTAACACTATGAAACGTGAAACGGACATTTATAGTGAATTGACGCAAAATGCCCTCCGGAGGCTTCTGGATTAATGACCCTTTGGACTAATAATAGTAGTAATAAAAGAACTTCGATTCCTAGCGAAGAGTGGATTTTTCTGGGCATTAAGAAAGTTGCATGCCATCACGAGGAAAGTAATCATGGCAAGGAATGGATAAGAACGTATATAGAATCATGCTTACATTATAGGAAATTTTCACTTTCCCCCGTGTGTGCTGTCGAGCTGAACCGGGTAGCACGCCCTGCTAGCATCGGAAGATCCCTAGAATCTCAGCAAAGGCAATTACTGATTTTTCAGGTTTTCTGCTCCGAAAAAATTTTAGTAGCTCTGTAGATTTTCGAAGAAAATTTAGAAACTGATTATGGAAGGGCAATTCTCCGTTTGAATCTAAAATTACAAAAATGGAACTAATTTTGTTTCGCATGAAAACAGCAGAAACTTAGTATTGTTGTGAAAGCTTATCCTCCAAAAAGGAATGTAAATATAAAAACAAAAAACATACATTCATGTTTACTAAAAATTCTTAATTTCACATAATACAATTCATATATTTTACGGGAGCTTATCTCACTAGGTATAGTAATATTTCTGATTTCATTGTATGTTTTCTGCAATATAGCTTTTCGTGTTCAACTATATTGTTGCCTAAAAGAGAAGCTTTTTTTCTGATGCAATGCTTTTATAGCATTGCTTCACTGATTGGAGCATTGATTGCGGTTTGATCACCAAAAACTAATGGCATCAATTTCCATATATTTCAAATCATCTTTTTATTCATATCATTATGAATGTTAAAATTTGTTTCATAAATTTATCCACTGAGTTCAGTTCAAAAATAAGCTTTAAAAATTATGCAGTGTATCTTAAAATGGCTTTTTCCTGCATCAAGAAATTATCCATGAGGTATTACATTAGGATGCCTCTTCTAGCACTTTTGGCGCTTTCCCGGCCTTTTCAAGAGATTAAATTGTTAATAAAAAGCATATTTATTTAAAATATGCTTAATTTTGAACACATACGAAAAAAGCATCACCCCAATCCTTTAAAAACTCGAAAAACACATATATACATTAATTTGGCTTTCAAATACTTTCTAACGTGTTTTATAAATTCCACAACAAAAAGTATAGAATGTTGGTAAAGAACAAAACCTTGAATAAAAGTAGTTTTTTACACTCATAAACTAAAATTGAATACTTAACAGCTACATAAAACATTGACCATGTTTTGAGAACAACCGCTTTAAAATCATAACCTAATATATTTGCTATACCTGCGAAAAAATCCTCAAATTAAAATTATTTTTACTTTAATGCAAATGATGTTTTAAGTTGGCATGTACGAAAACTTAAGCCTGCCCTGAACACGAATTCTATAACATTATATATAATAAATCTCCATTTTGGAAAACATATATCAAACATATCTAAAATTTATATCAATACATTTCACGTTAACCTCCATAGAAATGTTCGCCTCTTTATCAATTAACAACTCTTCTCTTAACTGATATTGTATTTTTAGTTACCTACAAATGCAAACACTTCGATCCTCGATTTGTATGCGAACCTTGAATATGATTTTCAAATTTAATTGCAAATATCTGCTCGAGCTTTTCTCTAATTGGCATTTTATATTTCACAAAAAAAGTTCAAAATTTTCCTAAATAAATAGAGAGAGACAATTTAAAGTTATATTTCGTAATTTGCACAAATTATACGACCAGTGGTTTCGGATGTAAAGGTCGGTAAGATATTTTATAAGCACGAAGTATGTTATGAAAACTTAAAATATCTTACGGAAAAATTTGTCTCAGTTTCATTATAATATTTTCGCTAACATATATTCTGAATTCTGTCTTTTCCCCGCGAAATTTTCTGATTCTAATCTGAGACAAACCTAAGAGAAAAAATAACAGAAAAAGATAATCACAGGAAACATTTAGTAATATCCTACGGTTTTACAATGAATTTAATAATCCTAACAATATCGCGGATAGGCAGATAAGTATACTGAATATCAACGATATTAATTATAAACAAGATTAAAATCAAGTTAAGAAAATTACGCATTAATATATACAGCAAAATCAAAAGCAAATTTTCGGATCACTTTGTATTGAATTAAAATATTTTATAGTCCTCTTAACTCTTGAGGTTCGCAATAATACATAATTAAACTTGGGAAATGTTCTTCTGAACATCGAAGAGTTTATAAAGAGAAAGATTGTATTATGTATTCTGGTTGCGATATCAACATGCAAATCTGAAAATAAGCAGACATTTTCTGATAATTATAGTTTCTGATAGTACTTTAATTTAAATACGCAATGCAATACAGTATTACCCAAAACATTTGCTCGGAAAACGTAAATGAAAATTAAGGTATAATATCTCGTGTGGATAATTCTTAGTTTTTAAAGGAAGTAAAACATTCCTTTGCAAATGATGTTAACCGTCAGGGCAGATGACTTATAGACACGTTAACTGATTATTATTAATTGATTATTATAGGAAGTTAAATTTTGTAATAAAATTCTTTCAGCTAAGTTTGAAAAAGTAATAAAATTTAGCGATAAATATTTGAAAATGGTTAGCCCGAATATTCTACCTACGCATTGCGCCAGATGAAACTTCTGACGCATCAAAAGCAGCTGCGTCTTGGTATTCAAGCCCCGCCTGAGACACCGAGAAGGCTCCAGAGAAACATGTGACGAAATTGTTGAATTAGCTGCACTTGAGTCACGCCAATGAGAATCAAAGTCACGATTTTCGGTGTATAAAAGATGCGGTTTCTGGACTGGAGATCACACATTCGAGAACAACCCAAAGCGATTATTAGCCATGGGGTGGATAACTCGACTCACCTTCGTACTTTTCTTCACCTGCACGCAGATTTACTCTGCTTTAGGAGCTTCAGCTGACGTATGGGGAAATCCTGGAACGGCAGAAGGTCTCCTTCAGGCATTTACTCAACAACTGCAAATGTCTGGGGCATTTTCGTATGACCAAATGGACGACATATCATCCATCAGCGATACCATTATGGACGCCATCGAGAGAAGTGCTCGTTCGAATAAAAGCTCCAAATCCAAGCTACAAGCTCTGAACATGGCTTTCGCCTCTTCAGTAGCAGAAATAGCCGCCTCTGGAGAAGGAGGACAACCGCTGTCAGTCAAAACTGGAGCAATAATGGATGCATTGGCAAGTGCATTTATGCAGACCACAGGCATGGTAGATCAAGTATTCTTAAATGAAATGAATGAATTGATAACCATGTTTACTCAAGTCAGCGCAAACGAAATCTCCAGTTCAGGTGCTGCCGCTTCTGCTGCCGCCGCTTCCGCCGCTGGGGCAGGAGGTATGCTTTTTATTTCAGTTTTGATTTTAAAAACATATTTGAATTTTTTGAATATTAATTTTCATTTAAATGTGATATCTGTAAAGAATCGGGCAATGAAGAGATTACGTGGAAACATATTAATATTTTACTGATATCGGGAACGAGTTTAAGTAAAATGATGTTTTTAATATATGTGATATTTTAAATGATTTTAAAAGACTGAAAACATTTGCCAGGAAAACGATGGCGAGGATTAATCATAATAAGCTTGCAGTAGGGTATTTAATTTGAATTTTGGCTTTTAGTTATATTCTTTATGTCTGTTGAAGGTGATGTTTCTGGCTTGCTCTGGCGCAGTCCGCAAAAAGGCCATAGGGCGACGTAAAGTCTGCCAGGAGGGTCGGCCTGCGTCCCTCATTTCATATCCTATTTAATTGCTGCAAACGTATTCAGGGTAGTCTTCTAATCATGTCTATAACGAAAGCAATTTTCTGAGCTGTCTGGCTGTAATAGTTGAAAAAATTTCATACAAACGTTTCTGACAACTCGATCACCATTAACGCAATTGAATGTTATTATTTTAGTTGAGGTTTAAAATGCTAATTTAAAAATTATCTTTTATTTTATTTGTATTTCATGCCATTTGCTTTCATGCACGGAAGTTGAAAACTTTGCGCTGTCCACGATATATTTTTTCTCGGTGCGAAGCATTTTGTACTTCTTCAGCAGTTTTCTCTGCTTTAGGTCTCAACATTTCGTTCCATTGCGAAGCATTTTGTGCATGATTTTGATTGCATTTCGTTTTGATGAACGAGGGTTTCATTAGAATTTTTTTTACGTTCTTGACTGTAAAATAAGTCATCTAAGTTTAAGATCTAAAACATAAATGAGTTAGTATGTATCACCACGTGAAGATAAACATATTAGACACGATCATGCTTTCGAACTGATGTAAGACAGGAACGAAATGTCTAGAAGCAACTCTTGGTTAGTGTTGCCACCGCACAAAATGTAATAACATTGTTTTTAATTCTACGTGTCTTTGCGCGTATTTGAGTCTTAGAATGCTGCCATTCAGAAAGGTATAAATTTTTTCATTTGTACTTCGAATTGAATATTTGTTTTTTATTAATAAATTCAGCAATTTTAAGTGTATACTGTCAGGCGGCGAAACAGAGAGTTTTTGATATGTCTATCAAACAGCCGCCTGCTTGCTAGACATACAGACCTGCTTGTCGATACTAAGGAAACTACCATTCGACAAATATAGCATCTTTAATGTAACTATCAGATTTAATGAGTTGTTAGTGATTAATAAACTGAACGATTAAAATCAGCATACTGACAATGTGTGAAACATAAGCCTATATATAAAATTTTATGCACATAAATAATTCTCAAAATATTGCCGTTCGCCAAAGTATAAACGTTTTAAGTTCTATCTTCCAAGATTAATTCGTTTGTTGTGGATGTATAAACTAAAAGAAACAAAGGCAGGTCTTAAAATTTAAAACTCTAGTTTGCTTTCTTATTTATTTCTTATCTATATAAATTAAAATATATTTTTTTTATAATAAACTGATGATTTTTATGCATGTGCACTATTCTAATTTATAAAAACGTGTTTGTAACTTTATGCATTGCGTTCCTCGATATTAGGAATGTGCATTCCCACGTTGGGAATCTCTCCACATTAGGAATGTGCATTCCCACGTTGGGAATCTCTCCACATTAGGAATGTGCATTCCCACCTGACTGACTACGATTAGCTACATTGTTACTTAGTCACTTCTCAGTCATATAGTTCAAGAAAACTATAATATCCCCCTATAAGCTATAAGATCCAAGATCCTATAAGATCCAAGAAAACTATAAGATCCAGAACACAGGAAGTACATTTACGATATCCATATTAGAACGTGTAGTTCATTTAATTCTAGAGGGGAATATTTTCATAAAAAGAATATTTCCACTTTAGAGCTAATAGTTTAGAGCCCTTATAATTTACAGCTTGGTCAGTGTATGTACATATAAGTCACTGTCGTACCTATACACGTAGGGCATCTAAAAAAACTCGAAATCATGGTTTACGTAAACAGTAATATGTACTACAAGAGGAGCATCCGTTTGCTCACGTATATGGGAAAATTAGATTCAGATCTCTAAAACAGGTGTAAAACTTACCACAGGTTTACACTTTTCAGTCTTTCACGGAACATTTCTAGGAAATTTAATAATTTAAATATCACATATATTTCCCCGTGATTATTAAAAAACTTAACTGCTTTCATATTATCTTTTCTTTCTGTCTTAAAGCACAAGTTTAAATGTATACCATAAGATTAATATGGAGCTACAGTTTGATTAATTCAAATTTGATTTCTTTATTTATGTATTATATGAATCATAACAAATTTAACTTTTCAATTTCTCAAGATAATGCTTTAAATAATTCGTTGCCTTAGGTTAGATATTTAGATCTTTCAAGGGATTTCAAATATGCTATTAAATCAAATTGTTTATTTACTTGTAGCAGGAATATTCAACATCTCATTTAAAAAATCGTATAGGTAAAATAATATTCACAGATGTTTTACATATTCAAGCGTCATTAATTACATGCAGTATGGATCAGATAGAGTACATTTTCAAAGAGTAAGTCATATTTTAAGATAGAAACACATCAGAGTTGAAATCTAGAATGAAATCTTTGCTATGCACATAACAGTGTTTTTCACGAGTAAACATTAAAAACTGTAAAGTTTAGAACACCTCAAGTATTTTTATAGCAAGAACTAGAAACTTTATTATGAAAATAATAAATAGAAACTTTATTATTCTCGCAATGTGATGCTGAAACATCACTCATAAACCTATAATATTCTAATATTTTATACTGTTAAAATATGCTGTCAACGCGTTGCCAAAACTTTATTTAAAATATAACATGTGTATTTCTGCAAGGCTATGGAGGTAGAGGATATGGTGGTGGATACGGAGCTAGTGGTGCTGGAGCTGCTGCCGCATCTGCTGCCGCAGCAGGAGCTGGTGCAGGACCACAAAGACAACGCCAAGGAGCTGCTGCTGCTTCTGCTGCTGCCGCCGCTGGCGCTCAAGGTTACGGAGATAGAGGTGGATACGGAGAAAGTTCTAGTGCTGCTGGAGCTGCTGCTGCTGCTGGGGCAGGATCTGGTGCTGGACCACAAGACAAGACCAAGGGCTGCTGCCGCTGCTGCTCTGCTGCAGGAGGTATGTTATGTCCCTAATCTCTTTTATATTTAGAAATTTCTAGAAATTATGACACCGTATGGTTTGTCGATCACAGTATGGTACAGAAAGAGGCGCAGCCCCCCATCCACCTAATCGATTTGATTTTATGACTTTTCCAGGGGGGCGCCAAGTTAAAAACCACATAATAAAATACGCCCATTAGGATATAACCTAATGGACCTTAACGGCACAATAATAATTAAAATAAATAGAATGGTTAGAAACTAACTAAACAAAAGGACAAAACACAAGACACAGACCATGCTCTATCATAAAAACACTAAACACATGTTAAATCAAAATTCCGACATTAACACGATTATTATTAATAAAATTCATTAATTCCCTAGCAAATTCAAATTCAGTGTTTTTTCCAGTAAATGTATTAATATGTCCAAACTTTTGTCTTATATCATAAGTTAAATCACATTCATTTACAAAATGTTTAACTGAACCCGTAACTCCACAATTATAACATAACTCATTTTCTTGTAGACCGAATCTCTTTAGGTACTCCGGGAAGCGTCCATGTCCTGTGATAATTTGATTAAGATCCAGGCAGCATGAAATACATTTATTATATGTAGGGATCAAATTATAACTGTAATCCTTTTTTCTATCAGACTCATTCCAATCCTTTTTCCACATATCAATATAAAATTGTTTTATTTTATTTACAAGAATTCTTCTGGATGGTTGGACAATGGAACACTCCCCGGATTCGCCCAAAAACTGCCTCCTTGGCCAACACATCGGCCCTTTCGTTACCCAAAATCCCAACATGGGACTTAACCCATTTAAATTTCACAACATGAATTTTGGTGATTTCTTCATAGAGACATTTAATATCAACAATTAATGAGTTTTTACATTCGTAATTTTTTAAGGCCTGGAGACCAGACAGACAATCACTATAAATTGATATTTTATAATGTATAAATAAGTTATCCTTTATCCATCTCAAAGCATAAAAAATAGCTGTCAATTCTGCCTGGAACACTGAATTAAAATTTTCCAATTTAATTTTATCATTGTAAATTTCAGTGCCATAGTAATATACAACATAAGAAAAACCTATCTTACCATCGATTCCAGAACCATCTGTAAAAAATGTCAATTTCACCAAATTCAACAAAATGAAATTCATAATCAATAATAACTCTTTTAGCAGGGTGTATACAATAAGGATCCAAGTTATAAAAAGCAGTACAACAAGCAAAAAATTCCTCATAATGAATAAAATCAATCTTATTAGTAGATAATAAAAATTTATCGTAATAATACCTATAAAATATAGAAAGAGGCGGTGTGCCGGCCAAGATGCAGAGAATTTCGGATGGAGTAGTTTTGAAACACCTAGTCAGTGACAGAAGCCAGGGCCGCTGAATTGTTATTAACTTATTCCTTATTCTTTGGAGTTCCGCCGCCCTAGAGCCCCAACTACCTATTCCATACATTATTATGGGTATGATAACAGCATTATAAATCATTCTGAGTACATTTCTTTTAGTAATCAATATTTTTTTTTGGAAAATTTCTTTTATGAAATAATAAAATTGCATCAGATTTCTTCTGAATTTCTTTAAAATGAAGTTCGAAATTTAATTTATCTTCTATAATTTCACCCAAATATTTCATGTGATCTACTCTTTTCAACAGGGTACCATAAAATCTTAGCCTGGGTGGTCTAGTATTTTTGCCGGCCCTAGGGAAAAACATATATGAAGTCTTTCGCAAATTAAAAATCAACTTCTCATCCTCGGCCCAGTTCTTTAGAATATCACTCACCAGTTGAAAACGCTGTTCTAATTTTTCTAAAGATACATCATATACTTACATATAAAATATCGTCTGCATAGCAGATCACATTTACGTATTCAGGAAGAGAAACATTTAATAACTTAAAAATAACGGCGCTCCAGAGCAGCGGAGCACTAGGCGAGCCCTGAGGGCATCCTTTATACACATTTTTAAAAATTTTAAAATCAGCATCATAAGAAAATACAACCTTTCTGTTATTAAAATAATTACACAAAATTGCAAAAATATTTTTAGGTATTTTAAAATTCTCAAGGGTGGAGAACAATGAATTCCATATAACAGAATCAAAAGTCTTTGAAACGTCGAAAGAAACAATTATCACATGAAAATCTTTCTTCTTTTGAACTATAGTGTTTGTTAAATCATAAAGTGCATCATTTGTTGACCATCCCGAAACAAAACCGAACTGTCTATTTGAAATAAAATTATTCTCCAAGAAAAAATGATATAACCTGTTGGTAAGCAATTTGTCCAGAACTTTTCGAAAGAATTTCAATAAACAAATAAATAGGTCTAACTGCCTGGTCACCCTTTGGAATGAATATTACTCTTGAGATCTTCCACACTCTCGGAAAAATCGACAAACTAAAACATTTATTATAAAGTAGAACGAAAAATTTCTCAAAATTTTTAAATAAACATTTAACCATAACAGCATGTATACAGTCAATTCCAGGAGCACTTTTATTTCTCAATTTTCCCACAACATAACGAATCTCATCTATAGAAAATAAAACATCATCAGCACCACAGTTTGGAGATGTTAAAAGTTCATCTTTAACAATACCATCCTCAGGATTTCCACAATCAAAGTTTTCCATAAAATAATCCCTAATAACATCAGAAAATTCATCAGTACTCTGCTCATCTTTCCTTATAATCATTTGGGAAGGTCTAGATTTACGTGTTGCCGATCGAAAGTAGCAATCATAGTAGTCTTTATTATCCAAAAAATGCTTCATCTTATATTCATATTTTGTCTTTTTAATCTTTTTTCGATAGAGAGCCATTTCCTTTTTATATAATATTTTTCTTTCTCTTCGAGTGTCTTCATCAATTTGTCTAACTTGATAATGTTTTCTTAAAGCCCTTATTCTTCGTTTACATCTCTGTAAATCAGCGTTCCACCAATATGTCATCTCTACTTTCCTTTTACGTAAAATTAGATGTTTCTTAGCATTCTTTACTATTAAGTTTTCAAATTCCTCAACAAATTCATCAAGGATAACAGGATCATAAATTCCATCCAATCTTTTTCTCATCTGATCTATATTTGGTTTTAGTTTTCTGCAAAATTTATTCAGTCTATAAATATTCTTTGTGAACACAATATTTTTATAATATATTGGCTGGACATCACAGATTTCAAAAGAGACATACCGGTGATCGCTTAAACTTTCCTCTTTATAAATCTTCAGTTCGGTATTAAATGTCGATAATGAGGAAGAACCTAGGATTAAATCTGTCCAACCCTCCCCGACAGCAGATACAAAAAGTTGGTAAAGAGTCCATTTGATTAAATAAAATCATATCATTCTGTATTATAAAATCCATAGTTAAAGATCCCCGATTATCAACTATTCTTGCCCCCAGTTAAAATTTTTGGAATTAAAATCACCAATAATAATAAAATACTTATACATTTCCAAAACCTGTTCCAACCTTGTTAAATGTAAATGTAAATTTTCTGCAGGGGAGAAATAAACGGACACAATTCCTAAAACAAATTGATCCATCCTTAAAGAAATGGCTATAATTTCATTCATTTTACAATCGACAATAAATTCACTTTCATCATTTGTGACAATAATGGCTGATCTGCCTTTCTCATCATATACCGCTCTCCACCCTTTATTTAAATATGGCATCTTATCATTTATAAAATAAGGCTCTTGCACTGTAATCAAATCAAAATTTTTATCTAAAATATTTTCAACCGCGGCCAACTGGCAAGCTGCCACCGCACAGTGATTCAGATTAATATTTAATATTTTCATATCCAAGGGAATAATAAAAAATAAAACAATTACAAATATAAAATTACATGCCATAAAAACAGATAAAGCAGTTAAAATAATGACAAGCACAGAAAAAAAAAAACAGCCCAATCGCAGTTATAATTAATTAAAATCCAAAACAATACTATTCCAATATACGCAAATGTTCAGAAATAAATTTAATCTCACGCTTATAAAGTTCACAATCCCTTTGCCAAAACATGATGATTCACATCAAAACGAGTACCATATTTCAAATTCGAATCCTTACAGTTAGCACATATTTCCTTTTCTTTAATACAATTTCTAACTACATGAGATTCTGAACACTTGATACAAGTAACATCATTTTTACAATGTTTAGTGGTGTGTCCAAATTTGAAGCAACGTAAACATCTCTTTGGCCTAAGATAAAGTTTTGCTACATAGGCCTTCCATCCAACACGAACTCTGTTATCCTCTAAAATTGAGGATTGACACTGGGGATCCACACGAAAAACTCTATGAGTAACTTCACTTGATTCCTTTACATTTTATCCTAAATAATGGACGCACACAGTCGCCAGAACAACCACACTCACTCCTCATTTTATCAGCAATTTCATCATCTTCTACATAGTTGCACACATTATATACAATAAGTTTTGGCTGTATAAATCTTTTTTTCTGTGTATACAACTTATCTTTTAAATTTTCTTTAGAATCAATAACATTTTGAACCATATCAACTTGTTTACTCTCTTTAAATCTCATAACTAAATCACCGTTTCTTTTAACAAAAGAACTCATAATCTGTGCATCCATATCATCAGGTTTTACATTCACAATTAATTCATCATAGACATCAATTCCAGGCATCGCTGGTCTAACAACTAATTCATTTTCTTTCCAATTCTTATTATCCATAAATCTATTCTTTTTATTCTCTTGTTTATGTCGATTTTCCCGAAGAGTACTTTTAATCTCATCGATGCCCCGTTTAATGTCAATATAAAACATCCGTTTTCGAATGTATAAAATTATCTTCAATACTTCTTAAATTCTGTGCAACAAGTAATTCAACAACTTTGTCGATTCCCCCTGCCAATCCTTCAGTAATCTCACGTGAGACCCTTCTAACTTTTAATTTATCAACAAATTCATAGAGGGCCCTAACAGCAGAAAGGACGCTTCCCAATTTCTCATCATCATTTAATTTTTCATTATCACAATCCATCTTTTCTTTCGTTATATCAGAACCATCTAATATTTCACTATCAACACCTGTAAATTCTTTCTCAACATCATTTTTCAGTCGACTCATTATAACAAAACAAATAAATATCAAGATTACAATACTGCGACAGGGCTGTATATAAAATATTCAGAATTAAAACATATTTACAAATCTAAAATACAAAGTAAATATATTTAAAAACAATATAAATCACAAAAATGGTCTGTATCACACAAAATTCAAGTTTGCAATCTTTTAAAATTCACAAAACAGCAGAAAAAACATTAAATTTTAAAATATAAATGTTCTGCGCCAAAATAAATAAATCGACCAACGGGCCAAAAATTACATTCAATAATGCACCAAAAGATCGATCAGTTATTCCTGGTAATATTCATAAACTCAGATCAAGTTTTTATCAATTGGCCAAAAAAGTCTTAAGTAGGAAGTGCAAAACACGAAGCCTTCAAAGGTAAACAAATAGCGGCCACATTAAGCCTAACGTCACTCAAAAAGTTTAAGTGCAAATATTAAATTAAATATTCAATCAATCACTATGCTTTTAACCATGGACTTAAAGTAAGTAATAAAGAGTCTAAAACATAAATCAGAAGTCATTTGCGCTGTAAATCCATGAAATAATAAGCAAAAATCTATTCATCGTATGCTAATGATCCGGCTAGCACTCGCAGAAATTCAAAGTCCGTGAATCTTCAAAAATACGACTTCTAGTTCGAAATAAAGTTATAAAACACAGATCGGAACACAAAACAAGTCAGAAAAATGCACTTTAACTCACTTAATTCAAATATTTACCAAGACATAAGCATTTCATTTCTCCACTCAAACAACACCATGCATCATGGCTGCAAGCATGCGTAGTCACCCCGATCACAGTATTATCGGATTTAAGACACGGTATCGGTCAATAAAATGGTACTTATCGATAATACTCTGCATACTAGTATGGCGATTCTCTATAATTTTCATTTTGTACCGGAAAGAATGCGATGGAGATGATGGTGATTTTACGCTGGATGAAATTGGAATGAGAATTTCACAGTTAAGCATCGGGAGTTCCGCTGAAGTTTGTCGGAAATCATGCCTTCATTCTTAAATCGTTATATTAACGTTATCCTCAGCTTTTTTCATATTTCATATAATGCATATCTTCATCTTTTTCCGGGGGGTGCTGCCTCTGAAACCATTTGCGTTTTGTCTACGATTCTAAAGTTGTTCATAGGAAAACTGATTATATTTTAAATTATTTATAAAAGACCTGTACAGTTCATTCAGGCAAAAATACTATTTTCAGAGATATTTATCAAAATGTTGTGGTTTCTCGGCCATGAACAGAGTAAGAGGATGGGTTCGCCCAGAAGAGCAGCTTGATTGCGTTCTAAACTTATTTCGATCCAGAGGGCTTGGATTTTAAGATTTACTAGATGCTTCCGAACTGTCTCTACTGAGGTTGCTTGCGTTTTGGCTCTGCGAATTGTTTTATTTTTATTATTGTAATTACCTTCTTAGAACTGCAAGCAAGGAATTAATTATTTATAATGACAATATTGTCTCCCGCTATGACTTTTAAAGGTTTATTATTAATTATATTTACCCAGCTAAGAGAATATCTATTCGTCATCAAACTAATATCTCACAAGATGGTTAAACAGATATTTATAACTGACGGGTTCAGGACGGGAGAAAATATTTCATTTGCATTTGTTATTTTATATTATAGAAAGGAAGTAGAAACTGCTAAATATAAATTATGTTTCTATAATACTATATTATCCCGAATATGAAGCACCATAGCTGAAGATGTTAACAACACGTTTTAAAGCCTACTTGTTAACCATCTGATCCTGTATCAATAGGCACCTCATTAAGAGAAAGTTTTACATACCTCGGATAATATTTACAGACGCTTTACGGATTGGAGCGAGAGTACTTATATCGAATATGTAATAATTATTGCAGCCTTTTAAACGGAGAGTAATATTTTAAAATTCAGACAGTTTCTTCTTAAACGCGGTACGAATTCTCTGCTATACTCAAAAGAGTGGTTTGCTTGGCCAAACATAAAAATTTTAAGCTACTAAACTTCTCAATTTTCTCCGATGTATGAAGCAAATTTTAGCTTCTAAAACTGTACTGAATTTTGACAATGTTCTGAAGAATCACTAAAAAGTGTAGAATCTTGTCTTCTTCTATTTAGTTGTAATATATTGTAACCGAAATACCGAGTGTTTATTTAAATCATAACATTTCTATTTTCGCAAGGTTATGGAGGTAGAGGATACGGTGGTGGATACGGAGGTCGTGGAGCTGGAGCTGGTGCCGCATCTGCTGCTGCTGCAGGAGCTGGTGCAGGACAACAAGGACAAGACCAAGGAGCGTCTGCCGCTGCCGCCGCCGCTGCTGCTGCCGCCGCTGCTGCCCAAGGTTATGGAGGTAGAGGTGGTTACGGACAAGGTGCTGGTGCTGCGGGCGCTGCTGCTGCTGCTGCTGGAGCAGGAGCTGGTGCAGGGCAACAAAGACAAGACCAGGGAGCTGCTGCCGCCGCCGCTGCTGCCGCCGCTGCCGCTGCTGCCCAAGGTTATGGAGGATACGGACGTGGTGCTGGTGCTGCGGGCGCTGCTGCTGCTGCTGCTGGAGCAGGAGCTGGTGCAGGACAACAAGATCAAGACCAACAAGCTGCTGCCGCCGCCGCCGCTGCTGCTGCCGCTGCTGCAGGAGGTATGTTATTTGTCTTTACATTTGCAGTAATTTTCCGAAATAGAACATAACACGAGAGTTTTGAAAGTGTCTACAGATACAGAACCCAGTCTGAATATTTCGGACATAGAAGCCTCAATTCTTGTTTGCGTTTCTAGGATATTAAATATTCATCTGTCGGTAAAGAATATATAAATTACGAAATGGGAAATATTCTTTCTCTTACACTCAAGGTTCGTAACAGAACTTTGCCAATAGCGTTTAATTAGATTTCACTAATTTCTAAGTTGAATTCCGAATTCAATTTAACTTTCAGTCATTATTCTGCGAATTTGTTAGATATGTTGTGATCGAAAATCTTTTGTCTAGCAAATATTTTACTTCCACTTAAATTGCAGAATGTACAATTAACTCTGAATTTGAACTGTTCAAAACTAATGGAAACGTACAAGGACATTCCATTGATCATTTGCGGTAATTGGAACCTTGCTGCAGTTTCAAATGCTAACACATATGATTTGTTTTGCTTTGTTTTCCTTTATACGGGCTCAGCCCTTCCGCCTGATATGTTGAACCTTATGAAGAAAAGCGGGCGCATCCCTTCCAACAACAAACGACACGAGCCAGCGAGCCGGCCGTGTCCAAGTAAAACTAAAATTAATTTAGCAGCTTAACAATAAATAAATAAATAAATAAATAAATAGAATAAAATATAAAAACTAGCAGAAAAAACACACAATTAAAGAACGTCCCGAAAAGCCAAGCCTGGGAACTGAGTAAGATAAAAATTAGGATAATGCAAAAATAACGAAATTATAAAAACGACCGTGAGAACTCTTCTCTACGAATCTCAAGATATCACAGAATATAAATAATAAAATCAAAGAAAATTGGGTTAGTAAAGTAAAGAGAATAACACGGCACATAAAAACACATTACCCGAGGAAATATTATGTACTAAGACATATGTATGTAATATTTCCTCGGGTATCCGACGAATATTCTGAAAAACTTTCAATTTTACGAATTCCTATTAATCTGTAATTTTGAGAACAGCTCTCTATAATGAAACACAAAAAATCCTGAAAGATACATACAGCAGAACGCGTAGCTCATTTAGTTTTACATAAGAACACTTTCAATAAAACGAATATTCGAATTCAATGATATTTATTTAGTTTCGTTGTATTTTCATTCGTTGCGAACGCCGTATTTTCTAAGTCACTGTCCTACTCATGTCATTATTAGTAATAAAAAAATTCATTTTTTTCGGACGACTGTAATACGACATCAGAAGCACTTTGTATTTCTTCCTTTACAAAACACAAATAATCTACGATATCTAAAGGTGCCGTAAAAACTTAGCAAGGACATCCCATATTGTTTGTTTTTGCCAAGAATCTAAAAACGAGTAGTAGCTTCGATAAATTCTTTGTTTCATATGATGAATCAATGATCTGAAATTATTTTCAAGTTTAGTAAAGAGATACATATTTTTAATACCAATTATACGTCCTCTTTTATCTATTCATAAAATCATAACTAATTAACTTTAGAAACTTCCCAAGGTTAACACGTAGATCAGATGCATTCGATACATTATGTGTTTAGGTAACTGAAGACGTAGACAACACATTTTCATATTGTATTTTTTAATCATCTAATCCTGTATCACCAGGCACCTCATTAAGAGAAAGTTTTACATACCTCGGATAATATTTACAGACGCTTTACGGATTGGAGCGAGAGTACTTATATCGAATATGTAATAATTATTGCAGCCTTTTAAACGGAGAGTAATATTTTAAAATTAAGACAGTTTCCTCTTAAACGCGGTACGAATTCTCTGCTATACTCAAAAGAGTGGTTTGCTTGGCCAAACATAAAAATTTTAAGGTACGAAACTTCTCAATTTTCTTTGATGTATGAAGCAAATATTAGCTTCTAAAACTGTACTGAATTTTGATAATGTTCTGAAGAATCACTAAAAAGTGTAGAATCTTGTCTTCTTCTATTTAGTTGTAATATATTGTAACCGAAATACCGAGTGTTTATTTAAATCATAACATTTCTATTTTCTCAAGGTTATGGAGGTAGAGGATACGGTGGTGGATACGGAGGTCGTGGAGCTGGAGCTGGTGCCGCATCTGCTGCTGCTGCAGGAGCTGGTGCAGGACAACAAGGACAAGACCAAGGAGCTGCTGCCGCTGCCGCCGCCGCTGCTGCCCAAGGTTATGGAGGTAGAGGTGGTTACGGACAAGGTGCTGGTGCTGCGGGCGCTGCTGCTGCTGCTGCTGGAGCAGGAGCTGGTGCAGGGCAACAAAGACAAGACCAGGGAGCTGCTGCCGCCGCTGCTGCCGCTGCCGCTGCTGCCCAAGGTTATGGAGGTAGAGGAGGATACGGACGTGGTGCTGGTGCTGCGGGCGCTGCTGCTGCTGCTGCTGGAGCAGGAGCTGGTGCAGGACAACAAGATCAAGACCAACAAGCTGCTGCCGCCGCCGCCGCTGCTGCTGCCGCTGCTGCAGGAGGTATGTTATTTGTCCTTTACATTTGCAGTAATTTTCCGAAATAGAACATAACACGAGAGTTTTGAAAGTGTCTACAGATACAGAACCCAGTCTGAATATTTCGGACATAGAAGCCTCAATTCTTGTTTGCGTTTCTAGGATATTAAATATTCATCTGTCGGTAAAGAATATATAAATTACGAAATGGGAAATATTCTTTCTCTTACACTCAAGGTTCGTAACAGAACTTTGCTAATGGCGTTTAATTAGATTTCACTAATTTCTAAGTTGAATTCCGAATTCAATTTAACTTTCAGTCATTATTCTGCGAATTTCTTAGATATGTTGTGATCGAAAATCTTTTGTCTAGCAAATATTTTACTTCCACTTAAATTGCAGAATGTACAATTAACTCTGAATTTGAACTGTTCAAAACTAATGGAAACTTACAAGGACATTCCATTGATCATTTGTTGTAATTGGAACCTTGCTGCAGTTTCAAATGCTAACACATATGATTTGTTTTGCTTTGTTTTCCTTTATACGGGCTCAGCCCTTCCGCCTGATTTGTTGAACCTTATGAAGAAAAGCGGGCGAATCCCTTCCAACAACAAACGACACGAGCCAGCGAGCCGGCCGTGTCCAAGTAAAACTAAAATTAATTTAGCAGCTTAACAATAAATAAATAAATAAATAAATAAATAGAATAAAATATAAAAACTAGCAGAAAAAAACACATTTAAAGAACGTCCCGAAAAGCCAAGCCTGGGAACTGAGTAACATAAAAATTAGGATAATGCAAAAATAACGAAATTATAAAAACGACCGTGAGAACTCTTCTCTACGAATCTCAAGACATCACAGAATATAAATAATAAAATCAAAGAAAATTGGGTTAGTAAAGTAAAGAGAATAACACGGCACATAAAAACACATTACCCGAGGAAATATTATGTACTAAGACATATGTATGTAATATTTCCTCGGGTATCCGACGAATATTCTGAAAAACTTTCAATTTTACGAATTCCTATTAATCTGTAATTTTGAGAACAGCTCTCTATAATGAAACACAAAAAATCCTGAAAGATACATACAGCAGAACGCGTAGCTCATTTATTTTTACATAAGAACAATTTCAATAAAACGAATATTCGACTTCAATGATATTTATTTAGTTTCGCTGTATTTTCATTCGTTGCGAACGCCGTATTTTCTAAGTCACTGTCCTACTCATGTCATTATTAGTAATAAAAAAATTCATTTTTTTCGGACGACTGTAATACGACATCAGAAGCACTTTGTATTTCTTCCTTTACAAAAAAACACAAATAATCTACGATATCTAAAGGTGCCGTAAAAACTTAGCAAGGACATCCCATATTGTTTGTTTTTGCCAAGAATCTAAAAACGATTAGTAGCTTCGATAAATTCTTTGTTTCTTATGATGGATCAATGATCTGAAATTATTTTCAAGTTCAGTAAAGAGATACGTATTGTTTAATACCAATTATACGTCCTCTTTAACTATTCGTAAAATCATAACTAATTAACTTTAGAAACTCCCAAGGTTAACACGTAGATCAGATGCATTCGATACATTATGTGTTTAGGTAACTGAAGACGTAGACAACACATTTTCATATGTATTTTTTAATCATCTAATCCTGTATCACCAGGCACCTCATTAAGAGAAAGTTTTACATACCTCGGATAATATTTACAGACGCTTTACGGATTGGAGCGAGAGTACTTATATCGAATATGTAATAATTATTGCAGCCTTTTAAACGGAGAGTAATATTTTAAAATTAAGACAGTTTCCTCTTAAACGCGGTACGAATTCTCTGCTATACTCAAAAGAGTGGTTTGCTTGGCCAAACATAAAAATTTTAAGGTACGAAACTTCTCAATTTTCTTTGATGTATGAAGCAAATATTAGCTTCTAAAACTGTACTGAATTTTGATAATGTTCTGAAGAATCACTAAAAAGTGTAGAATCTTGTCTTCTATTTAGTTGTAATATATTGTAACCGAAATACCGAGTGTTTATTTAAATCATAACATTTCTATTTTCTCAAGGTTATGGAGGTAGAGGATACGGTGGTGGATACGGAGGTCGTGGAGCTGGAGCTGGTGCCGCATCTGCTGCTGCTGCAGGAGCTGGTGCAGGACAACAAGGACAAGACCAAGGAGCTTCTGCCGCTGCCCGCCGCCGCCGCTGCTGCTGCCGCCGCTGCTGCCCAAGGTTATGGAGGTAGAGGTGGTTACGGACAAGGTGCTGGTGCTGCGGGCGCTGCTGCTGCTGCTGCTGGAGCAGGAGCTGGTGCAGGGCAACAAAGACAAGACCAGGGAGCTGCTGCCGCCGCTGCTGCTGCTGCTGCCGCTGCTGCCCAAGGTTATGGAGGTAGAGGAGGATACGGACGTGGTGCTGGTGCTGCGGGCGCTGCTGCTGCTGCTGCTGGAGCAGGAGCTGGTGCAGGACAACAAGATCAAGACCAACAAGCTGCTGCCGCCGCCGCCGCTGCTGCTGCCGCTGCTGCAGGAGGTATGTTATTTGTCCTTTACATTTGCAGTAATTTTCCGAAATAGAACATAACACGAGAGTTTTGAAAGTGTCTACAGATACAGAACCCAGTCTGAATATTTCGGACATAGAAGCCTCAATTCTTGTTTGCGTTTCTAGGATATTAAATATTCATCTGTCGGTAAAGAATATATAAATTACGAAATGGGAAATATTCTTTCTCTTACACTCAAGGTTCGTAACAGAACTTTGCCAATAGCGTTTAATTAGATTTCACTAATTTCTAAGTTGAATTCCGAATTCAATTTAACTTTCAGTCATTATTCCGCGAATTTCTTAGATATGTTGTGATCGAAAATCTTTTGCCTATCAAATATTTTACTTCCACTTAAATTGCAGAATGTACAATTAACTCTGAATTTGAACTGTTCAAAACTAATGGAAACGTACAAGGACATTCCATTGATCATTTGCGGTAATTGGAACCTTGCTGCAGTTTCAAATGCTAACACATATGATTTGTTTTGCTTTGTTTTCCTTTATACGGGCTCAGCCCTTCCGCCTGATATGTTGAACCTTATGAAGAAAAGCGGGCGCATCCCTTCCAACAACAAACGACACGAGCCAGCGAGCCGGCCGTGTCCAAGTAAAACTAAAATTAATTTAGCAGCTTAACAATAAATAAATAAATAAAAAAAAAACTAGCAGAAAAAAACACATTTAAGCCAGCCGGGAACGAGTAATAAAAGAGATAGCTTTCCCGAAGAGCGGTATTAGGGTTGCTAGAAAGTGGCAGGAAAGGCAGGGTTGCCATCTTTGGCGCGAAATTTCGCATTTAGTGGTATGTGGCGACAAAATAGATAATATGTCATAAATGGAGCGAGAACATTTTTCTAGAACACATTTTTAGCGGTCTTCTCTAGAGTATTCTTGATAGTTGGTTAAAGCTATATATAGCCTGCCTATCCTGGGAGCGAGTTGTAGCATTTGTAGTATAGTAGTGTCTTGAGCTCAGAGATGAGCTTGAGAGCGATCGACCGATGAGCCGTACTTTAGTGCTTTGCCGTTAAGCTGTCTTCCCGTTATAGCCTGAAGGCTGTGTTGCTGATTGCTTCAGAGTGTTTATCGTAGATTTACGATCACTGTAAAGGTGTCTTTGGAAGTGTCCAGTGAGTATTACACTGGCGAATAAATTGTGTTTTGATTCCTCTTCAAGTTTT